TGAACGACAGTATATTCTGAGCGACATTAACTAAAACTGTCTTCGGGCCTAATTTTCGAGCTTTTTTCTATTTGGTCCTAAAAATCTCGAAAAATAAAAAGCAAAAGTTAATGTGGGAACTTGCGGCAAAATTTTAGCTCGAAAATTCCCCTCTCACTTTGATAAGCAAAGCAGTACTGCCCTAATTTAACCACGCGCTCTCCATCCAAATATCTGTATAAACGTTTTTCATTAACTTCATCTGATTCTAAAGGTAAAAAAATTAATTTTGAGTGGAAATATCTGAGTGTAACGATTTTCTAAAAACTAGGATATGATATCGGAACTTTTGAAGAAAATTTAACCTGAGTTTTTGAGCAGATTAGGTTTTAAAAGAATTCGTACTAAGGAATTCAATAAAAAGTCTATGGGTATGGATGAATGAAAAGGGGACTTTACTTTTATCGTTCGAATCGCTTTCTACCTTATACTTTATCTTTAAGCTCTATAAAGTCGTGGGCATTCCCCATTATTTTTGACAAAAGGATCCAATGAAGGATTTAACGAGTTTTTAGCGTCCATGAATGGTTTTTAAGAGTAATATTGTATAATAGAAATGTACGTGGAGGTTTATTTTCCCTGCTAGGGGCGGTGGTATCGCAAAAAAATTGGGATCAAAACTAGTTCTTCTAGACCTTGCGGAGTAGTAGTTGTCCTCTACGGTTGTCGCAAGGTTAACTGCCGTCTAAAAGGCACAACCCATGAGAATATTACCAACTTAGTAAGGATGAAGAGCGATTACAGAGAGACCCAAAGAAAACCAATAATTTTACAGTTGAAACTCCTCAAATCTACACTACGGTATACACTAACTCAGCACTTGAGAACAGTAACAAAAGTACTAATTATTCCAACAAAAGTCGAATTTTAGAGCAGCAATGCAACAACAACCAAGCACGCAGTGAATGCGAGTAAACAAAAAAAGCAAATGAATGCAATGAACGGCTGCGTTTTATAAATTGGCGTACTCCATTAATCGAAGCGGCAATGTGGATGACGCACAACAGCAACAACTATGTAAAATTCATAGTTGTAAAGAGCATTACAAAGCAACAACTACGTTTACATTTAAACGGAAGGTTGAAGGACTTGCCTTTTGTTGTTGTGCGCCGTATGAATGGCAACAAAAATCACACCAACACAGCGATGAGCAAAACAAAAATGGTAGGAGAGTCACGCATACACGCGCAAATCGCACACCAACACATGCATAGCGCGCCAGCATTCCAACTGGAATCTTTCCAATTGGAAGCAATATACTGGAAAGTAGTATGCATTAAGCGCGTGCGAATAGTGCGACAAGCGGCGCGCCATTTGTGCGCTTAGCTAGTTGCACCGTTTACGCTTGCGACGCACATGTAGGCGTGTTAACGCGCATGCGCCATATTGCTTAGCGTAAAGCGGCAGGGGAAATGCCTCACATGGCTGCTGTATGTGTAAGCAGTGCAGCTAGCGAGCGCAACTAACTGTGTATACACATGTTGTGCCGTTCGGACGCCGGCGCTGTCTTCATATACCGTGTTTGAGGTTGACGCCCAATGTTTTGTGCGAGCACCGGGGTTTTTGACTATGCGCATGCAATGTGAATTAAGTGTAGCGCGAGTGCCGCAGCAAAGCCTGTTGGTTTGCTGGTCGGCGCTGAGAGTTGATGAGATTTACCGTAAGTAAATAAAAAAAAAGAATTGAAATACAACAACTACTAAGGTAAAAGCTGCTATGTAAATGAGAGTGTAGTAAAGCAACAACAAGTGGCGTATTATGTTTGCAACAACAACAATTGTCAAGCGTACGCTTGCTGCTACAATATTTTTTTTTTTTATATTACTAAAAAACGCTTTTTGTTTTTGCATCTGTTTCTCATGCGCAAATCTTCGTGAGCAACATAAGAAATGCATTGAAAAAGCATTAATAAAATTACAACAACAAGAATAATAAATATATATATGTATATACACTTAGCTTTGGCATCGCATGACTACTTGCCGCTTGCATATGTCGCATGCCGCGTGTGCCATGCAAATGCGTACGTTTGTCTGCCACTAGCGCCATTACGCCACTGCCACATGCCACAAACGCTATGCCGTTGATGATTTCGCATTTCGCCTAACAGCCATAGTTAGCGCGTCGGAGCGCTGTGCTCGTTGTTGTCGTCGCCAGCCAGCCAGCCAGCCAGCGCCGTTACTTACTTTACTTGCTGTCGTTTGGACAAAACTCTCGGTGCGCTTGCAATCGGCCAACAGTTGTACGTGGAAATTATGGCGAATTTGTTGTGTATTTTATGCGAAATTATCGGCGCTTGACATTTTTGCAAAAATTTACGTAAATTATTGTACTTATGTGCGGCAGGCATTAACTAGCGCGCCACGCTTTTTATTGTGCGCCACTAAAGTATGCTTCGTGTTAAACGCGTCACTCAGCGCGTTATTTACAGTTGTTGCGCTGTTGATTGCCCTGCTCGCGAGGCAATGTACTGAAGCGTTTTCTATGTGCGCTCACAGTGTGTTCGGTTGGAGCGCGTATTCGTATGTGCGTTTGTTTGTTTCGTGTGTGCGCGCTCAAATAAACCGGTTTATTGCTAGTTAATATTTTGCGCTTGCTGCGACGCGTCAAAATAAAAAAAAGACATACGCGTGACGCATTGTAACTTCGTGTAAGTGCATAAGAGGCGTCAGTGCGGTGTTTCTATGAGTAGTGAAAGCATGGCTGCTACTATTTGACTAAAAAGTTGATTTCCAAAGCAAATTGATGTAATAGATGTTCAATACTCGCTATGAAATTTATCTCTTAGAGTTAGTATGTATTTTTTTCTCTTATTTTAATTTATAAAACGGATAGCTCATTCCTTTAGCTTTAAAATGTTAAGAATAGAGAGTTGCGAGATTAAATAGGTGCTTCCATAGAGTTGTTATAGTTTTTGTCGAGCATTTTTTTATTTTGTTTTGTGCTTGCCGCCTTTTGAACCACTTTTTTTTATGTATAAAAATCCACAATCCACAATATTTTTTTTTTAAATTTCTTATAAATAGTCTGCCATAAATTACAATTTTCTTAATATACGCAGCAGCTATTTATTGTTGAAATTCCTTGTTTCCAAATTTTTTCGCTGTATTATTATTACTTTTACCCAAAACATATGTTTTTTCCTTAAAAACTCGAATTGCTTTCCAAATATAATCAACTTAATGGATATCGCATTTAAATTATTTTTTTGTTATAAAGTTTTAAATTTTTTTTTTATAAATTTTAATAAAATATATATAATCAGCTTAATGGATTTCGCAATGAAATTATTTTTTTTTTAATAAAATATGTTTTTTTTATAAAAACTTTCTAAAAAATTCTAAAAAAAATGTTTTTTTCAAACATTTTCTTTTTTCCTAAAAATTCTTTTCTCCCAAAGTTTTTTCTTCAAAAATCGATATTCTAAAAAGTTTTTTCTTAAACATTTTCTTTTTTCCGTTTAAATTTCTATTTTCCTAAAATATTACTTTTCCTTAAAAGTGTGTTCTGTGTATCAATAATATTTAATTTTTTATTTTTTAAATGGAAATTCTAAAAATTTGTTCCTTAAATTTTTTTTCTAACATGTTTTTTCCTTGCAAAATACCCTTTCTGCAGGTTGCAACAATTCTAGATTTGCAAGAAAATTCTTAATAAGTGTAGTTAAGGCTTTCTAAATTGTTTCCTAAAAGTTTTCCGACGAAATTTTTTTTATAAATTTAGTTAGTGTTTCCAAGCTATCTACATTATAATATGAGACATTAGCATAACGTCTTTTACAAATTTCGAAATTAAGCTTTGACAACCTGTACTTCGTACTCAATGTCGAACTTCTTCCGTTAACTATGTAGTAGTGGAATCTCTCGTCAGATGACAGCACACCTCCAAGTATCGTTCGAGTGTATTTCTGCCCTCAATTTTTCGAAGGTATGTTCAAACTTTTTGGAACCCGCAGAAATCATCCAAAACAATTGAAAAATAAATCAAATATCGAAGAAAGTTCCATAGATCAGACTTTTTCCCGTCAAATCATCATTTCATCTGGTTTGCGAAGAAATTCGATTGGAATGAGCGGGCTGTGTCATATGAAAACGCTGATTAGTGAGCTTTTTTAATAAAAATTTGAAATTGGATGAGAAAATTACAGATATAAAGTTTCAAAGAATTTTCTACCATTGTTAGCTTCACGCTATTCAAACCCGGCACAGACGAAACCGTCTTCTGTGGATGGTAACTCTTTTCTACCATCTTCGACTGGGGTCTTCCTTGGTAGAAGGTCGTCAAACCAGTTCCTCAAAAGCTATGTTTCGACATACATACATGTGAAACTAGGAAAGTGTTTCTGATTTGAGTGCACGTTATTTGCACTTTGGAGTTTAAGAAAAATGCAGGTTATGATTAAGGTAGGAATAGTTATGAATCACTGTGCTATTTTGAGTCATGCTAGTTGTTGAGAGGACAATGAAGCTTCATCTGTGAATCTTTTATATGGTTCGGAATTGATATCTAGAATTAATGCAACAGAAAGGGTTCCAGTTTTAGCATTTTATTAGGTTTCTACATTTTATTAGACCTAAACCTACTTGTTAATAAGTATATTAAGCCTTTTCTCACTTGGCCGACGGTGTCTTCTCGATTATATATATGAAGAACATCGTCTATAATATGTTGCTTAAGAAATGAAAGATAGAAAAATGTTCAGTTCTTTCTTTTTGGTTCAAAGTCTTGACTTTTAATGGTCATTTTTTAAAAAAATTACTTATAGTTTGTATTTAGCCCATTCAGCTGATCAATAACGGATTGCAAATAAACAAATAAACTTATGAAGTGAAAATTGAACAAAAATTTTAAATGAAAGTAAAAAACTTGTGAAAGAGAAATTAAAAAAAAAAATCAACGCTGGATTAATTTAGCTAATTAAAATTGCAAATAACTGCATTTTCCAAAAAAAAAAAAAACATCGTCATAAAAAAAATATGCCACAACGTTCACCATTCGCCATACAAGAGCTGCTCGGCTTGAGCAATTCAGCCGCAGCAGCAGCCGCCGTGGCCGCAGCCGTCGCTAAAACACACGAACCCATCGCAAGTGGCAGCGAGCTCAAAGACCACGACACGCCGTCTGCGAAAACAAAAGAACCTGTGGTAGCAGCGACTACGGAGGGCACACCGTCACCCACGGCAACAGCAACGCGTACGCCATCGCCCAATCAGCCAGCGTTGGCTGCCAATAGCAGCAGCAGCGGCAGCGCTAGCAGTTCAACCACTTCATTAAACACGACCGCAACTGTGGGCAGTAGTGCGCCCACACTGTCGGCGTCCGTGGTCACTACGGCAGCAAATGGCAGTATTGCAACCGGGTCGTTTAGTGTTGCCGCCGAACAGCAACAACAACAGCAACAGCATGCTGTACAACAACACCAACAACAGCAGCAACATCATCATCACCAGATGACAATGGCTGCTGCTGCTGCCTCACGCATGGCCTACTTCAATGCACATGCCGCGGTTGCAGCTGCATTTTTGCCACATAATCTAAGTAGTGGCGGTGCTGCGGCGGCGGCAGCCCAACATACTACCAATTTGCATGCATTGCAACAACATCATAATCATCATCATCATCACCAGTTGCAACTGCAGTCACATCATGCACACGGACATCCGCCGCATCATTTGTTGCATGCACAGGGTAAGTGGCGATTTGTGGCCTTTGCAATATGAATTATAGTGCACGCAGGCAAATACCGTTATAAGTTTCTGTAATATATAATAAATATTTCGTTGTGAGTTTGCAAGCTCCTACATTTTTATTTTTATAAATCTGTTTGCGTAAGGTTTGAATTATTAGTTACCTTCTAGACCCGAACTTAGCTATTAGGGTTAGCTACAACTACAGTTGTGCTGCAGCTGAGTCCATGAGCTTTTTTCAATACCATTTGATTACATCTCATTAGTCGATAGCCAGCCTTCTACCTCACCAATTTATCGGCGTAGGCATGAAACCGGAACTGCTGGAATGCTTTTAACTCACCAAACAAGTCTCTCTACTTATTTTTGGTTAGCGTGAAATTTTAAACTTAGTTTTTTATAGGTGTTTAGCTTTGTGTTCTTTAATTTTTAAGCACATATATTATCTATTATATCATTTTCATTCGATTTCCTTGTAGCATTGCACGCCTAAAAAACAGTGATCCAGCGGGTCTACGGTTCCCTCGCTGACATTGTCATCTGACGTAGTAATTTAATATTTTACGGTTGGATGTTTGGATAGTCTGAACAGTTAAGTGGCCTTGACTATTTATTTTAATGCTTTCTAATAACGCACTGACCGGAATTTTATGAATATCTATTACTAGTTTGGCTTAAATAACGCGTGAGGTGAACTTTCTATGCAGTTTTTTTTCTCATTCGTCAGGCAGCTGCTACAATGGTGTGGCAACTTAGCTTCTGCTGAGTTTATTGGTATTTTTTGCTCAGAGTAAGATTCATTATATGCCGTTGAGGCAATTTTTTAGTAAAGGCTATGTTGGCTAGATCCTAACATCATTAAATGTTTGACAAAACCGCAACAAAATATATATAACTGTTTATAATAATATATTTTGTGTTTATAATGCGTTTCCAAAAATATTATACTTTATTTATTTCATACAAACCATTCCTTAAAGACTACAATCAATAGACGTTTTTAATTTTTTATTTATTAGTTTTTTATTGTCTAATTTTTTATATTTAAAAATTTTCTTATTATAGCATACATATAGTCTTAATCTTTTTTTTTGCTGTTATATAATAATTTTAAAGCTAGCAACTATTTATATAATTGTAAATATATTCTTTTGGATGCATAATATTATATGAATAATGTTTTTTTTTATTCTACTAATTATAATTTTATTATTATTTTTTTAAAATAATTTTATTAAAATAATTTTTTATACTCATTATTTTATTTAAAGTAAAAATATGTTTATTACACTTTTGTACAATTTTCTCACACAAGTTTTCAAACTTGTTAGGTTAAGACCAAAAGTAGAAGAGAACTAAGAACTAAAGCTGAATCTTATTTTATGTTTAAACATAATTTCATTCTTAGTTTTTATATATTTTTTAAGTACAACTTATATCGTATTTTTTTCGGCATATCGTTAAACCCTTTTGTTGAATAGATTCGTTTTCTTGTTTATCACATTTTTATACAATAGTTCAAATTTGTTTTCCTTATTCACATAATTTTCTATACACTTTCTGGTGTAAAATTACAAATATATTTTTTTATTTATTTTTTACAAATATTTTTTATTTTGTTATTTATTTATTTACATTTTTTAATTAAAAAAAAAAATTTTTACTTTGTTTGGTTTAATTTTTTTTGCGTATACATTATTTAAATCAAGGCTATAACTAAAAGAAAAATAACCTACATAAAACTTAAGCTAATTTTTAGAATGGGTTTTATATATTTTTAATTAAATGTTTTGATGGTTTTATTCTGCTTGATTCACATAATTTTTTTTTACTCTTTTTGGTATGGAAATTACAAATGGTATATTTTATATTTATTTTTTAAAATTATATTTCTTTATTTAAAAAAAAAAATTTATTTATTTTTTAAAATTATATTTCTTTATTTAAAAAAAAATTTATTTATTTTTTAAAAATATTTTTTTTTTACTTAATTTCATTTTATTATTTATTTTATTTTTTTATCCTTTTTTTATCAACATTTTTTGCGTATAAAATAGCTAAATCAAAGTTAGACCCAAAATAATAAGAAACTAAAATAACTTTTAAGATAATTTTTACAATAGATTTTATATATATTTTTAATTTAATGCATATTGTTATCTTTTTTCTCGATGTTCCGTTGTTTTGATGAAGCTAGTTTTTTTTCTTAATTCACATAGTTTTTTAAAATTCTTTTTGCCATTAAAACTACTAATTTAAATTTTAAAAAATGTAGCTTTTTCTACTTTCTACCTTATAAATAATTTTTGTTTAATATTAAATCTTTTTGTATAATAAAGTTTAAATTGCTTGTGTGTTTTTTTGCTATTTATTATAAATGAATTTTTGGTCATTAATACTTGTATAATAATATGTGTTAACTTAATAAAAATATGTATTAATTTTTTCATATTCCCTTATAACTATAAATATATTTATATTAGCTATGCTTTATTTATTTATTGTCTTCTTGTTACATATCATCTTATTATATTATATTATTATTATTTTATATTTCATGTTTTGTTTTATTTTGGTTTCAATTTCTTCTATTGTTTTTTAATTTCTTTTTTTATTGTCTTTGTATTTTAATTTAACGCTGTTTTCTTGCAAAATTTTTTCTAATATTTTATGCATTAATATATTACCTTAAATATAAATGTATTTTAATTTTTGATTTACTTTTTTTTTAATTTTTAATTTTTTTTACATTTTTTTTTTTTTTTACATTTTTTAACTTTTTTTTTTTTTAATTTTTTCAAAATAACTTTAATTTTATATTTTTAAAATTTTTTTTTTTTAATTTTTTTTATATATTTAATTTTTTTCAATTTTAGCAAAATGTTTTTTTAATATTTTAAGCATTGACATATTATCCTAACCACAATTTAACTGATATATTATTTTAACAGCCATTATTTTTTACATTTCCAACTAAGTTTTACAAAATTGTTAAAGTTTATTTTAATAAATTTGTTTGTCTATGTATAGAAAAGAGCGCCTTTTTTAAATAGTTTTTTTATAAAGTTATGATACCTATATATTCAAGTACATACATATATAGTATACTCGAAAAAAAATTTATATGAGCTGTTTTAAAAACATCATGATATTCAAACGTTGTAACACATTTTCATTATTAGAGATCATTTTTTATTTAATTTTATATTTAGAAAATCTTAAATTATATATATTTTAACTTAATTCTTTATTAATTGTTTAAAAAACAAATATATAAACTAATTTCAAATATCTTAACTAATAATTTATTGTAATTTATATAATTCATAGTGAAATTGCTTATTATAAATATATACAATACATATACCTCTTTTTTTGAGCTATATATATCCATAATTTTTTATTGCATTTTATTGGTTTAACATAAATATTTTTTATTATTATCACCTAGCATAAATTTAGTTGTTGGAAAAATTTTTGAATAGTTTTGTTGAAAACTTAGAAACTGAAAGCAAACAAAAAAATTGTTTATTTTTAAATATAAATACAACTCTAAACTCTAACAATTGTGATTAAAAACATAAACTTACTACAATCCAGTAATTTTATGCAAATGTGATGCTTTGAATATCGCTGCCCCTATTCACTATGTAACTACCATTAGAGTTTACCCGTCAAACCTAGTAACTTAGGCTATGCACGCAGTGCAGTGTGGCTAAGAGTGTAACACAATTGTGTCTCACATATGGAACGAAGATAGCAAGATGAGTAATTTACAAATTTGTATAGAAACTAACTCACTAACAACAATTTTAGCATATATTAGAGGCATCTTCTTCACAATTTTCTTGCGCTAAAAGAGTGTATTCTAGTACAGATTTTGGAAAAAATCGTAAATCGCAAAGTATTATTAAATTATTATTAATTATTGTTTGCTTACAACATTTGATCTTTACTCTGCTTCCAGCTTCACTATGTGCATAGCCTAAATTACATCTATGTATATTCTGTGGAAGGTTAAGGTTAGAATAGTTGAAAATATTTCCTACGATCACTTTCAACCAAAGATTAAACAAAATTATCTTACTAGAATCTGATCTGACCCAAGAAAGTCTGGCACTGGCATTCAGATTATTACACTCGCTTCGCGTATGAAGTGAGCTTCTTAAAAGTGACTTTCGTCGCGCGGTGGTCGTTATCATTGGTTTTATTAGATTATCGCCAACTGAGAAAGGTGACAAGTGATATTAAATAGCAGTTGTAGCGATCAGTATAGAAGAGGTCTGTATTTTTTAGATTAGCTGTGTTAAGGATCGGCAGAAACTCAATAAGACATACTTAAGCTTGGGGTTTAGTTGGGTGTACTTCCGAAAAATCGCTTTATTGACGCCAAAAGAAGGCATATAATTATAGTAAATGACATTACTTCGATTACTGGGATATTTTGTTCTTTAGAAAGTACGTCGTTTATGCTCTCAAGAACAATTAGATATCCGGCACAATTAAATATATGAGGATTGTTTGTCCCCAAAAGATGCATTTATAGTACATGTTGGTCTCTTAACACAAGAAAATACTATATTTATTTATATACTTATCAAAAAATTTAAATTACTTTTACGAACATTATCACAATTTTGCATATGAGTCACCCTTTGGCCAAGTGGAGGTATAACTGTTATTTGATATTAATTTTATAAAAAAAAGTGCGGTTTAGCAGACCGTAAAACATATTAATAATTCATATATACGTTTAAATATACAGCCGTATAGGTATATACAACGATTTTAAATGACTCAGGGCGCCGAATTTTTGCTAAGTACAATTGAATTCGCGTTGAATTATTTTTTTTTTTTTTGCGAACACAAATTTCGAATGTCACTATAAAATTTAAAGCATTTCTGACAATCACCAAAAATAATTGCATGTAATTATCTTCCAAAATGAGTATAGGAAATCTGCAGACAAACATATATGTAAGTACATATTAATATATATGC